GAACTATTCCGATTGATAAATTGTTTTAAAGAATTTTGCCATGAGAAATGATTCAATACATGGTGCTGACTTTAATGACACAATTCAGTTTAGTTATCAATCCATTAATACTTGGTTTGTACTCGGAAAACAATGTCTGAGTTTGGATGGTTGAATAATGACAAACACTTGTGAATCAACAACTTCAATCCAACAATCGACTGTGGGATTTTACAAGCGATTGATTAAATCAGATATTTTATCTGTTGATTACCAATGTAAAATTAATAATCAGCACAACACTATTAATCAATGTTACAAAGTACAGAGAAAATTAGAAATAACGTAATTGATATTTTCTCGCAATTATTTCCATGATGTCTGTGTGTATTATTTTTAATTTGACTAGTTTCATGCATAAATTACACATTCTATCAAAATAAGTTAAGAATAAAAAACATGGACACAAGCTGTTTAAAATTTATACCATTCAAACACCCACCCCCACCCCCTCCCCCCACACATACGCACATTATCTTTAGTTGTCATAAGCAAATGTGACAACCTGAAATTTGAAACAGACATTTTCTCTAATAGTGCATTTATTTTGAAGCGCATAAATAAGCAAATATAGTAGAAATAAATATAAAAAATACTGTAAAATCAATCTATGCCATGTCATGCACAATTATATATATTTTTTCAATAGATGTTCATGTAATTTGTGTACACCCATGCCCACAGAAGAAGAGCGACAATGTTGCAGAGACATGAATATTCTACAGGAGAAATTGGAAGACATAGAATGTATTACTCATCATGAGGGATTCATTGCAAACTGCCTGAATATCCATGTTTTAGAGACATCGTTTTATGAATATGCCGATGAACATGGGGATGAAGGACAGTCACAAAACATACATAGGTTTGTATTTACATCAACTTTCCAACTACGTAGTTGTAATATTGTCTCACTTAATAGATCTATTAAAAACTGATATATTTTATCTATAAAACATACAAATGGTGATATAGTTTCTATAATATAGTCTTATGTCATATTCTTTCAGTGATAAATCTACATGCAAGTTCTGTACTCATGCAAATTTTGGGACTCATTGCATTATTTTGGTGGTATTCACTAAAAGAGTTGAAAAGAATAAATAAATTGTATATAGACAACTGTCCTTTTATGCAAATTTCATGTTTTCAATCATAAGATAAATGAATTTTGTCTGTGTCATTATATTTGAGAATGCAGTCTACAAAGTCACACTGATTAACCACAATTTATATTGCTCAATTACAGGATGTATCGACTTGTTGCATACAGACGATTTATACGATGGACATGGAAACGCCTTGGCAAGAAAAACAGGAAAGTCATTCCTGCTTGTGCTGTAGCTGCAATTCGTAGGGCATTTCCATCCGAAAGTTTCACAGGATTCCGCTACCCTCGACTCTGATATATGAATTGAATCTTCTACACTGACTTGAAATCACATTTTCCCTGTCAAGTTTTCCATGTATATAGAGATAGGTGGTGGGCGTTCCATTTCCTGAGCTAATGCACGCTGTGCCTGCCCATAACTGCTAAACATTTGTCTTCCCATGACAACTTCTTCCATGAGCTCTTCAATGTTGTCTGTAAAGACAGGGAATATAAATTCAACTTCTTAAATTTCTTATTACATATTTGTCAGAGAACAATGTGAAATTAAATGGAAATGTGATATTAACTGGAATGATATTAGTGGAATCTCTTGTATCATAATAAAGTAACAAAAATGTCAATAACAACTTCCGAAATGCTGTTCTTAACAGATTTATATTGTTGTTTGTGAATGATAAAAAAATTTCTTTCGCCACTGCATCTCCTTTTCTGCTTTTTGGAAAGGACAAAGTTTCCAACTGCCTGAGGTCGTGATGAGTTGGCATTAAAGTGTAGGGCTGCAAGGCACAGTCTGTGAGGAAAAATGAAAGTCTTAGATCATGTTGATTCATCAGCTATATATGGTATTAGTCAATACAGTTAAACCTCTTATCAAGCACCAATGTTGGCTGCTAGTTATTCTAGTTGGATCACCTGTGTGACAAACAAGATAGAAGGATGATGCCACAGTTTACTAAAAAATTTTACTATAAAAGCATCAATGATAAATCATTGATGCTTTAATAGTAAAATAATTTTTTTCAAAACTTAATTACATGAATCAGAATATTTTGTCAACAAAAACCAAACAAAAGTTAACAACATATAATTATTTACATGTATATAAGTAAAGGTTATCTTTATATAAAATACCCGGCAGATTCATCTATTCTAAAAGTAAAGTCATATGGTATTGACATTAATGCATGCCAGGCCAGCTTGGCTGCTGTTTCATGCAAATATCATAAGGGACCAGTTTTTAGTGGACACATTAGCTTATCAAACTTTTTCATCAGGTGATTCATAAACTGACGGAGAGGGGACAGTATAAGTGAGGTGGTCGATATAAAGGGCCACATAACCATGCATACATAGATTGTACTTGACGTGAGTTTTTTTTTTTTGTTGATAATGCCATTTTATCCTGTGCATGCTTACCTTGCTTTCATCTGGTTGTAAAAGTAGTGGGTTGACTTCGGTGCAAAAAAGTTCACAATATTGTGGAAAGACTCAAGACTGGACGTTTGTTCTGCTGGTGACAGTTTACCAACGTCTTGCAACAGTAGTTTACTGCAAACAATCTTTTCCACTTCTTGTAAAGCCTTGCTACCTGAAAAACACATCATTTAATATTTTTTTCTACAAATTAATCTAAGCTAAATAGAACTGATGATTTTGCCTGGACAAACAAAATTGAAGAAAACAAGATATGTTTGCATAACATGTATAAACCAAACACCCATCCATAACACTAATTTTATAGGTTGGATTGCACCCAATGGCATTTGACCTTTTTACATGAAAATCAATAGGGGTCATCTACTTCCCATAACCATGCTACATGTGAAATATCATAACAATCAAGGAATTATATATTAGATATTGATCAGACAAAGGTGGTCTACCTACAGACAGATTGACAGACTGGCAAGTGCAAAGTAATATACCCCCTCTGCTTTGAAAGGGGGGGGGGCCTAAAAAATAAAAGAAAAAAAATCAGATACTCTTCATCTTAAAGTGTTTTTGCTCAACTTACACCCCTGTAAACAAAGATCAACTTAATTCATACCTGGCTTGAACCAATTCCTTTCAATGTCATCATGTAGGCAGTTTGGAAATCTGTCTCCGTGGCCATCATGGACATCAGCGATGTGGTTTGTGATGCTTTTCCACTTTTGGCGGACTAATTCCCCATCTCCATGACTACTGGCAGCACACCAATATACATGATTGCTGATGGAACGAGCCCACTGTCCAACTAGAGCATACTTCTTGGTTTTTCCTAGAGCTTCTAACTTCTTGTATACTCCTGGAAATAAAATTACTTGTTTTATTTATTGTTACACATGTACATAAAGCGTAAATTTAAACTTCATTAATTTCACAATAATTATATGAAACAAATTATTTCAACTTAATCTTTTAACATGTGGAAGGTTTTATTAATAGAGTACCCGAAGAAAACCACTCTATTGACTAATTGAGCAGGTGGACCATATAATTTTATATGGTATTTTTCCATTGTTAATTTGTTGCAAACAAATGATGTGTAGATATGCTTCAGTAACTAACTTTCATCCAAAGGATAACTAATACCCCTGCACCGTCATCCCATGTGAATTTCGACAAAAAATTAAACCAAAAAGTAACCAAAATTTCAAGAAAAGGAAGGTGCATGCACATCTACAAACTATTGCTAGCATTACTGTTAAGTTTCATTGATATCTGATCACTGGTCTAAGAGGAGTTGTCAAGGTAAGATGTTATTTCACAAAACCTGTGTATATTGATCTTGAACAAAATGTTAACGATTTTTTTAGAAAAACGAACTTGCACAACTTCATATCATAAGGATAGATTATGCAAGGTTTCAGAAAAAATTGGTTGATCGGTTGTCTAGATCTACTTTAAACAATATTCCGGCCAGATGGCATGGACAGTCAGACAGAGTGATTTCAATATACCCCCCTAACTTTATTCCCGGTGTGTGTGTGTGTGTGTGTTATAATAAATGTAACATCAATATAAAATATTATTCAACTTACCCTTTGCTACATGCCATACATCGAACCAGTGGTTGATATCAGGTCGTTCTGTCTTCATAAACTTCTTCACTTGACTGTGTCTGTCTGTCACCAGATCCGAAACATCCACACCTTCTTCTTGAAGAAACTTCAAACAGCGTTTCAGACCTTCCAACTCCATATTATATGAATTCTTCACTTCATTAGACTGAAATAAATGATACAAATATGTATATAATATGGTGGGCAATTACTATGATATGGAATGTACGTTTGTCTTAGGAATCTAGTCGGTTTATGTAGAAACCACTTTAATGCATGAGTTTAGTCACTGTCACTGAATCCAAATCATTACTTACATTTATAAATTATATTATTAAAACTTGCATATATATACATATATATGCATTTGGCCTAGCAGATTACACTAGTTATTGATACTATCTCATCTCACTGCATTTTGATAAATTCTGTGTGTATTTTGCATTTTGTTTTATTCAATCATAGACATTGATTTCAGTTTTTGAAAAACCTGTTTTAATAAAAGCTTACTGATCAGGAATTATAATTTACTTCTATGCTTTCAATCTTATTACCTGGACTAGCTGTATATCTACAACCCTTGAAGTCTGTACATCCATCACTGTATAGCTTCCATATTTTGCTGTATGGCCTGGTGATGAACATCTGGCATCTCCTCCAAGTTTTAGAGCATGACCACTGATTTTGATGTCTGTGAGATAAACAGACTGATGAAACTGCCAGCATGACAATGTGGAGGGCACAATATATGTTCTCTGTAGAATATTATATGATGTGAGACTAAGTCCCAAAATACCGGCATGTCACATAAAGTTCAAAGTTTTAACAGGACTACTGCCACTGAAAAATATTGCACCAGCAGTTATAATGTTCCCCCAAGGCATTGACTTGGAAAAAGGTTGGCTGGTCCAACGGCGCACAAAGCCACACATACATTTGGAAGTTATACATACACATGTGCCAATCATTGTTCTTTCATGATGTAAACTTGTACAATGGCAACCCTGACAAAAGTCTAACAACTCCAACAAACATTTTTCAAACACGACATATTTCCGAGCTTTGTCAGGTTCTGTTTCCTCATCATCCAGACCAGTTCCTCCCTCAGTAGGTATATCCTCATCTTCAACATTCTCATACATCGGTACCCAGTCTGGATCATGTAGTATAGAATCATCCTCTTCATCATCATCATCTATCCTATCTACACATTTTGCTGATGACTCATCAGACTTTTTTCTGTAACGGTTGCATTGTGTCGATGAGGTTTCCATTCTGCATGTTGCCTGTACTGCACAGGATGTAGTTCTTGGTTTCAAGTTTGATGTTACCTGAAGGCCAACATGTCTCCGTCGCTACAACATATATATATATATATTTAGATAATGTGTTGTTTTGTAGATGAGAGTTAAGATGTATCATCACGGCAAAACTTCTTAATGGTATTATTTATACCACACATATGAAAATGTTATGACTGAATTTTACACTCATTCTCACTATAGTAAATTTAATCTAATAATTAATTACATTAATGTGTATGACCATATAGTTCCAGTACTGATTATACTACTGATTAAATTTATAAAATGCAATGTCCATGAAACAAAGTCTCAATATAATATTGTTTTTTTTTCTGAAGTGAATAGGCCTGAGGAATTTATATTATGCTTTAATGCATAAAATATAATTTGATGAAGGATGCTCTAGCTGGTAATATATAGTAATGGTTATACTTACAACTACATTGTAAGAAGTCTGACAACCCACGGAATAATTATTCATTGGTTCATCTGACCCAACACATTTATCAGCAGTTGTGCTTGAATCGGTCTGAGTCTCAATATGGCATTGGTCCGATCTATACAAATTGGTACAAACATCCATATGCAGGTTTTCCACATTTTCAGCTTCATTTCCTTGATGTAGTTCTGTTATCTCGGATAAAACCTAAAATAAAATGAACTTATTTTCAGGACAGTATAGAATAACCATATACATGTACTGTACATTGTTAGAGCTTGGCCTAGTTTCATGAATCCTATTCCTCCTTTACTAATCATGGAAATCTGAACTCCCGAAGGAAGACATAGCTTCCTTATAATTAAGATTTTCCTTAATGAACTTATGTAAGTTTTCAATGAGGATTAATATTTCAAGTTTTGGTGAAAATTGGGCCATGATTTACTGTTTATGTAGATATTTCATAAATATACATTACACTACAGTAATTATATTTTCACAAGTTTTATGGATTAGGCCGCAGGCGTTGAAGCACAGGGATTTGTTACAAATCAAATGTAATTACATGTGAAGTCTGATGTATACGAATGATGGTTTGTCTTAGAAATAAATCAAATCCGAGTCTAAAAGGAAAAGCTATTACAAAGCTACCCACAGTTACCTGGAAAAGGACTGATGATGAGATATAATTTGTGAAAATTAAGAAGGCTATTGAATTAATTGATGTATCTACCTCCAATCTGCGTCTTTTCTGTATAACTTGACTCATAGACCGTTTTCTGTTTGGAGTTTCCCAAAGGAAAGGCGAATCGGCTACTTGCGTCGTATTAACAGGACGAGGTGTTTTCGGGGTTGAAGAAAAATCAAAAATAGTTGGCACAGCATCCGTCTTAAGTCTCAAACATTTCGGTTCGTATCCTATGGATTCTGAGATACGGGGATCCTTGGTGAAACATGTAGGCCTAATGTGTATCTTTAGTTAATACGATTTATTCTGTAGTGACAAGACATTTAAGCTCTAAGTAGGTGAAGTAGGATTAACTTACAAACTGACCAGGAAGATTTCATCACGTGTATCTATGTCTATCTATGTATTATCTATGTACCTATCCCTATGTAATGTTAGTATGTATTGATTTACGAATTATGTTGGTCAGCAATAATTAGCCAACATCAGCGAGAATTCATGATTCAGATACTTAAATTAAGTGGGGTTGGATCAACGGTCATTTCGGCAGTAGGGATAAATAGACGACAGATATTGGTGTTAGGTAGAGAAGGCCAGGGGGCGCTGGACGAAGGAACACCATCTCTCACAAACCATGACAGACTTTACTTGTGTCGAATAAAAGAAGATTGAAAAGAATCCACGTCTTACTTATACTCAATGGGTCTACACATGTTCCAAATGTATGGCATATAGACATGGTAGGTATACCAAATATCTGCTTTCTTATTCTTATTCGAGTTCAAATGTTTTTATAACACTGATATTAAGATGTTAACCTTCTTGGTTAAGTTATATTGTATTTATATATCACATGCTAGTAGAGTTCATCATTATATGCAGCTGAAGCCTACATTGTGAATCATTTTTGTCTCAGCCTTGCTACCATATTTCCTTTCGCACAATTAATGCCAGGGCATCGCCTTAAAAAAATTACCTTTGGCATCACGTGACACCCATTTCCACTAAATATCTTCATATACAGCTTCACATCTGTGTTTGAATGTACTTTACTACTAGTGTAGCTCTCTTTGATATGGTATTGGTATAATACTTAATACTTAAATTTCAGTTGGCTTGTGGCTGATACTTGAGGTTATTTTGGTTTGATTTGGCACAAAATTTGTACACCGAGCTCAGTACTAGTGTATGTCATATCTCTATGTACATGTTTTATGTAATTTTCATTTGCTGTATACATTTGACATCAGATATATGTATGAACAGCCCAGTGTTAACTGGTTTTGAGGGATGTTATTACCCAGGTTTGGGTAATTTTTGAGCCCTGATGATTTTATATGATTATTTTACCTGCACTACAGGTACTTGGTACCTTGTAGGGGCACAAAGGTTGTAATCATTCATTTGACATCATGACATTGAACAGCCCAGTGTTAACTGGTTTTGAGGGACACATTCCTATACCCAACTCCGTGTTGAGTATTTGGTTAGCCCTGATTTATTTATACCACTTTGAGCTTTCATATGACTTAAGATGATTCGATCCCCTGCCCTCCACCATTTTCTTTCATATCACATGCTCTATATCATTGTTTTCACATTCCTAGGAATTTACTGAACACCTTACATGCATCAACTTATATCAATATCTTATAACATTCAATTCTGTTGGTTCCATGGTGTAATTTTTGGACACTTTATTCATATCTTTAATTTCTTTACTATTTAGCTATCAGCAATGGGACCAAAGCCAACCAGAAATAAAGGCAGAAAGCATAAGGCAGCTGAGGCGTCCTTGGACAACACTGCCACACTTCAGCCGCAGACTCAGCCCACTCCCTCCAGCTTGGTTCCTGGATCCACAGATAACCTGGGTCTAGCACCAGACACTTTGGGCCTTATCACCAAGACTGTGACAGCTGCAGTCATGAAGGAAATACATAAAACTCCTGCACAAAGGCCTGATTTGGTAACTCTCCCAGCTGCTGCTGCGGTCAGTGCAACTTCTGAAGCGCGGGAGGCTAGTGTTGTCAGCACATCCTCTTGAGACAGGTGCCAATACTTTTAGTAATTTTAGTTGCAAATTTTGATGTAAATGACTTGCCTGCAGCCAAGCCACCACAAGTGTCTTGTAGGCCCCTTCACCAGAAGGTGTCTCCTGAATTAAAACAAAATATATGGGATGGTGAGTTTGTTGATTTGTCACAAATCTTGGATGACCATGACCAAACTAATTTGAAATATACTTTACAATTAGATCACAGTGGCAGTGTTGGCTTGACTCGGGCACATCATAAGAAATTTCTGACAATTGCAAGATGGACTGATGCATTTAGCATTTTTTCATCTGTCTATCGACAGAAATACCCTGAATGCACTGAGGGTCTTGCTACATATCAGCATGTTGTCCGAAATATTGCGAAGGCAGGAGGAGACTGGTACAGCTATGATACTAGTTTCCGCCGCCTTAAACAATAAGCCATGGACATGGCTTGGGGTTCTTTAGAGCTCGAGTTATACTGCACAGCCATGACTTCATCCAGATTAAGGACCCCTTCTTTTCATCACAGAAATTCTGGTAATGCTATGTCATTTCAATCGGCTACAACCAATAATTTTCGTTCCCATGCCGGTACCTGCTTTCGCTATAACAAAGGCAACCACTGCTGAGGGTGCAAGTACTCGCACATTTGTGGAAAGTGTGGATTAAAACACCCCCAATCTTCCTTAGATCAGGCTCTATCATAATGCCACCTCTTCTGTCACAAACCCAATTAATGTAGACAAACTCAAAGACTACCTAGAAGGTTATAACCCCAAGTTCCTTTATTACCTTATTCAGGGTTTTACTACAGGTTTCCGGTTAGAGTTTCAAGGGTCACAGGGTCCTCAGAGCAGCCCTAATTTACAGTCGGCTCTGTCAAACCCTTGTGTTTTTCAGAGTAAAATTGATAAGGAGGTTAAACTGGGTCGTGTATTGTGTCCATTTCCCACTCCACCTCTAACATATTTCAAATTATCTCCCCTTCGCTTGGTACCAAAGAAATCCCAGGAGATTTTCGTCTTATTCATCATCTATCTTACTCTCGCCATGGTTCTTCCGTTAACAGTGATACTCCTCCCGAGGCTTCTGAGGTACATTATGCAGGCATTGAAGATGCTATATCAAAAGTGAAACAATGTGGGACAGGTTGCTTTATGGCAAAAACAGACATCAAGTCTGCATTTCGAATTATACCAGTACATCCCCTTGACCACAATTTACTGGGATTTTCCTTCGCTAACCAGTATTATTATGATACCTGTTTACCAATGGGTTGCTCCATGTCTTGCAGATTTTTTTAGGCTTTTAGTATCGCTTTAGAATGGATAGCGGTCACTAAGTTAGGTTGTAGAAATGTCATCCACATTTTAGATGATTTTGTGTTTGCGGCTGAAACACAGGAAGAGGCTACGGCTGCTTTACAACAATTAATTTTGGTGTGTAGCTCAGCGGGAGTTCCTATTCATATTGGGATTTGTAGGTATAATGCTGTATAGTGTTACATCTACGGCTTCATTGCCAACAGATAAAGTAGAGAAAGCTGCAACGGCTATCCATACTCTATTAGGAAAGTCTAAGTGTACGCTCAAAGATCTAGTCATTGGTAGGTCTTCTTAAATTTGCTTGCTCTGTCATTATGCCGGGTCGACCTTTTCTCAGGCGTCTGATCAATTTAACTATAGGTGTTCTTCAAGCGCATCATCACATTAGATCAACACTAGAAGCAAAGGCAGATCTGAAAGTTTGGCTACACTTTCTCGAAACATACAATGGTCGTACAATTTTCATAGAGGAAAAGTTTTTGTCCAACTACACATTACAGTTATATACAAATGCCTCCTCTACGAGTGGCTATGGAGCAATTTCAAACATAGTTGGTTATATGAGGTGTTCCCACAAACATGCAAAAATTTGCATATCTCTATTTTAGAATTTTACCCTATATTGCTTGGGGTCACCTGTGTGTAACAAAGTGCAAATAATGTTTTATAATTTGTCTTGCTTTTAAATTAAATTTAATGTTACGCCGCGTTTATTGTGCTGTTTGCGTGTGTATGTGCGCTGCGTATGGTCGCTAGGCTGTGTACCTGTATACGTGTATGTTCGTACCTGTCACTTGTCTAACCTGTTTACTTATTCTATGGTTCTATATATAGGTGTTACCTCGTTTTGCTATAGTGGTCAGTGTCTTTGTTAGCTTTTGGCGCAGTTTTAGAGAGACATTTGTAGAGGAACTGCGCAGACGTCTTACACACAGTCCGGTTCTTCCTAATTTTTACTATTCTGTGAAGTCTTCCTGAAGATCATATATATGGTATGTACAACATTTAGTTATTTGGTTATTTTGAATTATTATTTATTATTGTGAATTTTGGAAAAAGTATGTCTTAATTGGAATTAGCGATAAGGATTGAAATTATTGGTAAAGATTATAAAGTTATTAGAATCATATTAGTATTGACCAAAACGTTCATATTGTCTGCAAATCTTGTTCATACATGATCTGTATGTGTTGGTATGTATCTTTTACAGATAATCCATGTACGTAAATTAAGAAGTCTTTGTACAGAAGTTCTTCTGTGAAACCCCCGACCCATAGTCGGAGTAGGTACATGTGTATTTTACTGATTGTAGTCAATTATGAATATGATATATATATATTATAGTAACAATGTATAAGCATTTTCTATTCTAAGATAAATATTTATGATGATAAAAGTATTCATTGTAAAGACAGATTATTATTCTTGGTTTTTTTTAATAGTTTTAGCGTGATAACATGAAATATGTATTCACTGAGCACTTCATGTACATCATGTAAGGATTAGTAATATCTGTGATATCTGCTTAATTCTTTGTGTATTGTCTTTGTAGGTTTTTTTTTAATTAAATGGAATAAAAATATGAAGCGTCGATCTGCGTCCTTCTTCTACACACTATTTTACATTGGCGCCCATGTGATGTCTCTGCTAGAGCCAAGGGATGTAACTTCTCCTTGCAAATTCCCACATTCCGCATTTGCGTGACCGGTCTCAGCACAGAGATTAGAAGAACCCTATACATCGAAGGTGAAGGTCGCTCTACAGGGTTGACGACGCACATGTCTCGGTATATGGATGTGTTTTATTCTATTTCCAAGGAAGGCTGGGAAATGACCGTCTGGATACAGTGCAGGAACATTCCAAGGAACCAGGTATAATGATGTTATTGTTTGACTTTTGCCGATAACCTTGTATCGCTATGTTTGACTGTTGATTGTGGTTATCGTAATCGTGACAGTGAACCATGCGGTTCAGCGAGCTGTGTCACAACGACACGTTTTTCGATGCTGTGATCTGGTGAACTTTCCACTTTATTCTTCTGTTCTGCATTAGCTGTGCTGATTTAATAAACTTCATATTTTTGGAAATAAATGGTTTCAAGGAAAATTTCCTCCTGAATTAGTAGGGGGCAAGGATAAGCTATCTATGGCCTTTTTAGAATTGTATCCCATTGTGGTAGCTTGTGTGTTATGGGGTGAAGAATGGTCTCGCAAGAGAATTTTATTTCACTGTGACAACATGTCCACTGTGGAGATCCTTAATAAAGGACGTTCTAAAGTTCAGCTGATTATGAACTTAATGAGGAGATTGACTTTTTGTTCGGCGATGAACAATTTTACAGTGCATGCCCAACATATTCCTGGAATTGACAATAATATAGCAGACGCTCTCTCTCGTTTCCAGATGGAAAAGTTTCGCCGATTAGCTCCACATGCAGACTGGGCCCCTACTCCGTGCCCTCCACAGTCCAGCCTTCTGATGACCAGTTGGTTGAAGTCAACCGACTTTGGGACTTGTCGATTAGTCCGCGGACAGCATCTACATATAATGCGGCTATTCAGCTCCTCCTTCGATTCCTCACCATGTGTGGCGTTCTATCAACAGCAGGACATCTTCCACCCTTGTCTGAGGACTTGTTTATTTGTCTCACATTGCCACCATAGCTTGGCCCTAAAATTTTTGACTATTAAAATTTATTTGGCAGGAATAAGATTTCATTACCTTAGGGCTGGCCAGGCCAATCCTTTTTTAAATACTGGCAGACTTGCATGTATTCTTCGCGGTATGAAACAAAATCAGGGAGGCAGCATACAAAATAAACGATTGCCTATTACATATGACATCTTGAACCGCATATGTTGTTTGTTGACATCTGGGGTGTTCTCGGATGATGTAGATCTGTTACTTTTGTGTGCATGTCAAATGGCATTTTTTGGTTTTCTACGATGTGGAGAATTTACTGTACGATCTCAATGTGATGTTCACGATGTTATCTGCATTGAAGATATTGTTTTGGCATCAGATTTATCATTGTATTC